GTGCAAGTCAATTGCCTTATCCACTGAACTACTTCTCTGGGCCACTATTATTTTCATACACGAATCATAAACAGGGGCCGGAGTAATAGTACAGTAGGTAGGGCATTTGCCTTGCATACAGCTGACTTGGGTTTGATCCCTGGTACCCCACATGGTCCCTGGAGCCTGCCAGGAGTGATCCCTGAGTACAGACAGGAGTAAGTCCTGAGCACAGCTGGGTGTAACCCCCAAAAACTCATGAACAAAAGAAATAGCTTGTGATCATGTAACCGTTTGTAGAAATGACTTTAAAGTGTCTGCACTACTTAGGCCCCATCTGGTAACTTTAATAGAGATGTAAGGTACCCATGGGAAAGAAAATTCCCTCCTACTTATTGATCTGGGCTGGAGCGATAGCACAGCGGTAGGGCGTTTGCCTTGCACGCAGCCAGCGTGGCCGACCCGAGTTCGATTCCTCCGCCCCTCTCGGAGAGCCTGGCAAGCTACCGAGAGGATCTCGCCCGCACAGCAAAGCCTGGCAGGCTCCCCGTGATGTATTTCATATGCCAAACACAGTCACAAGAAGTCTCACAATGGAGATGTTACTGGACCCGCTCAAGCAAATCGATGAACAATGGGAGGACCGTGACCGTGACTTATTGGTCTGGTCCCCAAAGTGACATTAGGGGTGATGTGGGAGCAGTGTCCCTACCTCTGGACATACTTCTAATGTACGCCCAAAGTAGATGTGTGTGTATGAGAGGTATTTGTTACATATTTGTTTCCACAATAAGATGTTAAAAATGGAGCCATATAATGTGAAAAGGACAGTCACTTGCTGATACCTGAGGTCACTTCATCTGAGATCTCCAGGAAAAAATGGCCTTTGCATTTGGTGATGTCAGTGTTGGCCACCTGAGGCCACACTTTACATCCTAACCAACAACTACATTATTGCGGGGCAGGGAGACCCGGAGAGATAGGCCAGTGGCTAGGCACTGACTGGGCTTGATCGCTGGGACCATTTATGGTCCCCTGGGCCCCACCAGGAGTGATCCCTGAGCACAGAGCCAGGGACCAAATACACACACACACACACACACACACACACACATATACATACAAACATATATACACACACATATACTTGATCACTTGACTTCCCGTTAATCATCGGTTTGCTCGAGTGGGTGCCAGTAACGTCTCCATTTGTTCCTGTCGTGTGCTAGTGTAGCCCAATGGAGTGTTTGTTTTAGGAACACGAAGAGCCTCAAACCGATCGTTCAGGGTCTTGATGGAGAAGTCTGACCCTGAACACACACATATACACACATATATATACACACACACCAAATACACACATATACACATACACACACACATATCTACACACACACCCCAAATGCACACATATACACACCCATACATACACACACGCATATAAAACTATGTATTCTCACGCTGGAGAGATGATACAAAGTAAGGTTCTTGACTTTGCATATGGCCAACATCTATTTGGATCCTTGGTAGCACATTGGGTGCCCAGAGCCCCATTAGAAGTGATCCCTGAGCACCCCCAGGATGTGTCCCCCAAACAACACACACACATGCAGAGCCCCAGCTTCCATCTCTGGAATAACCTGGTACTCCCAGTACAGCTGGGTGTGCCCCCCCCAAACAAAAACACAACGTGTTGTTCGTGTAAATGATATTCTGTATGTACAGATACAAATCCCGCATCATTTCCAGGCTTCAAGCGGGCGGTGGGTGGAAGCCCAGGGCCTCCCTCTCCCACAGGGAACTGGCCTCTCTGGGCAGCTCCCAGGGGTTTCTAGAGGTGGGTCCTCTGAGGAACTAGGACAGTTCATCCTGGGCGTGGAAAACCAACCCAAAGTGACCTGCGAGGAGAGTCGCTCAGGGATACAACACCCAGATACACCACACAAGGCCAGTCCTGGAGACAGCTTCCCCCACAAGGGCACACAGGGAAGGGTCCTGGGTCCCTCGAGACACCTGCCCATTGCCCTTGTCCTGTGTTCCCGAGGGTGAATGCAGGAGCCAGTGTCCAAACGTTCCTTCCGGCTCCAAGCAGAAACTGTTTATGATTCTCTGCCCAGGGACCACGCGCAACAAACCTCCCTCCCAGGGTCCTAAACCCGAGGCCTTTTGATTCCTGCATCCCTGGTGTGAGGGGCCATGCAATGACTGCAAGATCTCCCTCAACGTGGCCCAGCTGTGCACGTGCTGTGGACGTAGGTAGCCCGCCCAATCTCTTTCCCAGATTCACCCTCTAGCATAAGGTCTCACGTGTCAGAACTAAAGGTGGGACAGGAGAGGGAAGTAACGCTTTGGTTCTTGCGTGGACCGTGAGCGCTCCCAAAACACGCTCGCTGTTTTGAGTCTGTATCCCCGTGAGCAGAGTTCAAACCCGTGTGCGGCCGAATCCCGAGGTGAAAATCATCTGGCGGTGTCCGAAGAAGCAACAGGAGCTGGGACCTGCGTGAGGAAGGACCAGGCCGGCTCACCATGGTCCTGGCCACCTGCCAGAATTACTGGGAAGGCTAATAATGCCTCCCCATTGGGGTCAAGTGCAGGGATACAGCTCAAGAAGTTTACCCCTTTGTCCAACCGGGGAATCCTCCCCTCCCTAGCACTTTTTTTCCTTCTACTTTCCTCTTTCCCCCATCTTCTGAATTTCAGTGAGAGGCCATAGCTTGGGGTAAGCCGAGTCCTCGGAGCTTCCCAATATGTGCTCAGAAGCACGTGATCCCCGTCTGCAAAGTGCAACTACCGTGGATGCCTGGGTACACTGAGGCAGCTCAGCATGGGGGCAATAGCTGTGTGGGTCGGACGAGGAACGTGGAGGACAAGAGCGCTAAAAATCCAACCTAGACTGACAAGAGCACTGAAAATCCAACCCAGAATAACTGAGGAGGGAGCTATGACCCGGCCGAATTGGATATATTTGCCCTTTTTTTTTTTAAGGTGGCCTGCTATGCCCGACAAAGAGTTGCTGGAAATTTCCATCCTGAATATTCCTCACCCGAGGATTCCCCGGGGCTCCCGTAAGAAACAACACACCCTGCCCCGTTTCCCACGTCTCCAACCACTACTGATCAGCTAGAGCCCTTCAGACGGCCTTTAAGGGATCTCCTCTGGCTCCCTTTTCCTCTCTCTAATTCTTACTTCCAATAGGGAATTACCTTCTCAGGGAATCTGAGCAAAATCCAGTTCCCCCGTGATGGAAGCAATCAGCCAGTGTTAGGAACCTGTTAACACCCACCCAGTTTTTGCCAGGCACATGCCCAAAGTCCAGAGAGCTCGGCCCTCCTCCCTGGCAGAGGGGAAGAACCACACCTGGGCTCAAGGCTCGGAGCACCTGGCACAGGAAATGCCATCGCAAATTACGTGTCCCTGTCTCCACACACCAAATTGAGGTTCAAGAGGCTCCAATCACAGACGGATCCTGAGGCAACCTTCCCGGGATTCTGAGGGCGGCCGAGCACTAGCCTAGTCGGGAGCTTTAGCTGCACTGGATTGGAAATTAAGAACTGAGGAAGATTACAAAGACAGTGTAACTAACCTCCGCCGGACATGTGGGTTCAAGCCCAGGCTTCCCCTTAGGACCTCTGAACACCAGCAGGAGTGAAAACCAAAGAAGCAAAAGAGAATCCTAGCACAGAACCACCAATGCTTCCTTTTTAAGACTCCGTGATGAAAAATTACATGCAAACCACGCACGGTCTCTCCCCAAAACTTCAGAACTATGGGAATACGACTGACCGAGTGTGCAATTTACCTGTTTTTCTGTTTTTGGCTTTCTGAGTCACTCCCGGGGATGCTCAGGGGTTACTCCTGACTCTACAGTCAGTAATCACTTCTGGGATGCTGGGGGTCAAAACGGGGTCTGCTGCGTGCAAGGCAATCGCCCTACCCGCTGTACTATCGCTCCAGCCCCGGAATTAACCTGTAAGAGCAAAACATCCCTTGGAAGTTGTAGATGCTAAGATTCATTACAAGTTTAAGGTCACCACGCACACTTTATTGGATTCATTCCCGTGAGTACTTAAATTATTTTAAATCTCAGGAACACTGCTTCCCAAGGCACACACATGTAAAGATGAAAAGGCAAGTTCTGCTTTGAGACGGAGTTGTGAAGACTCCTGGTAAAAGACAAACCAACTTTTTAAAAAACAAACCTCCAGAATCACCTCTTTTAAGCAGATGTCAAAATTCAACAACTGAAACCTTTTTTAACTTTCTCCCCTGGAAGTTGATTTGACCAAAAAAAAAAAAAAAGAAAATCGGAAACACTGAGTGCGTTTAGGATTAACGTTTATGTTTCGAGACTCAATCAAGTGAAACGTAGAACAAGGCTCATTCCTGCCACTTTCCGCCCCCCACCCCCAGAAATAATAATCACGCGAATATTCTAATGGTCAAATTGGGGGGCGCTTCTCCCCTGAAATCATTATTCCAAACAAATGAAAAAAAATTCACAGTAGCTACAAATGAGAATACCTGAACAACTGCGAACACCGCGCCCCCAAACTGCGAGGAACTAGTGGTACAAAAACAAAGCAGGAGTCCGGATTTTATTTTTAAGGCTGGAAAAACACACCCGAGGGTGGGGTGGGGGTGTGGGGTGTGGAGGGGGGGATGTTTCCTTGGATCAATGAAACTTCGAGAGAAACGGAGCAACTAGTCCTGGGGGGTCCGTCCATTCAAAACGAGTCACCCTGGACGACACCCTGGTTTGGTCCTGGCCAACCGGGGGTCCGCCGGCGTCGCCAGCATCCGCGGCCCCGACGCATCCTCCGACGCGCGTCTTCGCTCTGCCCCCCCGAGGTCCAAGCGGCGGACGAAATAAATTACCATAAATTAGATGCCCAGGCGGCTTCAAAAACGCAACCTTCTGAAGCTGAGGGTTTCCTTTGGTCCTCCCTCCGGGAAGTGGGGGGGAAGCCGGTGCCGAATGCTGGCCGTCGGGGCTGGGGAGGGGGTGGCTGGCTGGGTGGGTGGGGGGCTGGAGGGGCCTCGGGGAGGGGCCGCGCCCCGTCAAACGTCCGGGTAGTTGCAGTAGTAGACGGCCGAGCTGGCGTCCGACACCACCGAGGACAGCGCGCCCTGGCCGTCGGGGAGCCCGGCGCCCGCCTCGTGGCCCGGGTAGGGCAGCCCCAGGTCGGGCTTGCACACGAAGTGCAGGTACTGTTCGAACTCGGTGCGGTCCACGTCGGCGAGCAGCTCGGCGGGCTGCCCGGCGTCGGCGTCGCCGCGGGCCGGGAGCGCGTCGGGCGGGGGCGACGGCTGGCCGGGGGGCCCGGGCGGCGGGGGCTGCAGCGGGAAGGCGCGGGGACCCCCGGCCGCGGGCGCGCCCACCGCGCCGTAGTACATGTGCAGCGCGCCGGGGCCCGCCAGGAGCCCGGGCACGGGGGGTCCCGCGGGGTCGGCGCCCAGGCGCGCGTGCAGGGCGGCGGCCGCGCCGCCGGGGGGCTCCGCGGGACCCCCGAAGTCCAGGGCCGGCGCGTAGCTGTAGTCCGCGGGCAGCGGCGCGCCGAAGAAGGCCGGGTCGGGCTCCACGCCGTCCAGCGGGGACGTGTCGGGCGTGGGCAGCGGGTAGCCGTCCAGTCCCGGGCAGTCGCGGTAGTGGCCGGCCAGGTGCGGGGGCAGCAGCGGCGGCGCGGGCGGCGGCGGCGGCGGCGGCCCCCCGGGGTAGCCGGGCTCGGCGAAGGGCAGGCCCAGCCCGTCCAGGCCCACGCGGCCCGCGTCGGCGCCGCCCAGCCCGGCGGCCGGCGGCTCGGCCAGCCCGTGCAGGAAGCCGCCGTCCACGCGCTTGAGCCGCTTGACCTGCTTGCGACGGCGCGGCCGGTACTTGTAGTTGGGGTGGTCCTGCATGTGCTGCACGCGCAGCCGCTCGGCCTCCTCCACGAACGGCCGCTTCTCCGCCAGCGTCAGCGCCTTCCACGACTTGCCTGCGGGCGGGGCGCACGGTGAGAAGGGGCGCGCGCGCGCGTGGGGGACCCCCGCCGGGCCGGCCCGAACCCCCGGGAGGGAGCGACCCTCCCTCGCCTGCCCGGTCACCTTCCCGAGCGTTTGCCCCGCTGCCTCTCTCTCCGGCTGGTGCCAGAGTACGAAAGGAAAAGAAAAAAAAAAAAAACATCCCCTCCCCGTGGGGGCGGGCAGGGTCGGGGAGAGGCCCGGCACGACCAGCGCGCCCCGATTCCGGGAGGGCGCGCGCCCTGACGCTCCGGGACGCGCTCACCCGACCCCCCACCCCACCCCCCGCCGCGCCCCGGCTCAGACGCTCGAGGACATGGTCAGCGGCGCGGGACACGGTCACCCCTGCGGGGCATAGCTCCCCAGACCCCCCGCGGGACCCGGCCACCTCGAGCCCCGGCTCAGACGCTCGAGGACACGGCCACCCCCACGGGACCCGGCCACCCCGCGCCCTGGCTCAGGCTCAGACGGCCCGGGACCCGGTCACCGCCGCACCCGGGCTCTCAGGCCCGGGAACGCGGTCAGCCCCGCGAACACGTCACCCCTGCGCCCTGGCTCTGATGCGGGGGACGCGGTCGGTCCCGCGGGACACGGTCGGCCGCGCGGGGCACAGCCACCCCCCGCGCCCGGCCACCCCGCGCGGTCCCTGATCGCTCCGTGGGCCCCGGCCACCCCGCGCGCTCCCCGGCCACCCCGCGGGCCCCGGCCATCCCGCGCGCTCCCCGATCACCCCGCGCGCTCTCGGCCACCCCGCGGGCCCCGGCCACCCCGCGCGCTCCCCGGCCACCCCGCGGTCACCCCGCGCTCTCTCTAGCCACCCCATGGGCCCCGGTCACCCCGCGCGCTCCCCGATCACCCCGCGCGCTCTCTGGCCACCCCATGGGCCCCGGCCACCCCGCGCGCTCCCCGGCCACCCCGCGCGCTCTCGGCCACCCCGCGGGCCCCGGCCACCCCGCGCGCTCCCCGGCCACCCCGCGCGCTCCCGGCCGGCGCCCGTCCCGGCGGCCACTCACCCAGCATCTTGCTGAGCTCGGCGTTGTGCAGGTCGGGGTTCTGCTGCGCCAGGCGCTTGCGCTCGTCCTTGGCCCACACCATGAAGGCGTTCATGGGCCGCCGGATGCGGGACTCGCCCTTGGCCCGGCCCGCCGCCCCGGCCGGGGGCCCCGCGCCGGCCGCCGGCTCGCCCTTGGCCTTCATGTCCTGCAGGGGGCTCAGCGCCTCGGCCCAGGGGCAGGGGCCCAGCCCGGCCATCACGGCGGGCAGCGCGCGGCGGCGGCTCTGGCCCTGCTCGTCGCTGGCGTAGCCCGCATCGGGGCTGCTCATGGCGCTCCGGCCCGCGCCCGCCGCCCCCCGCGCCGTCCGGGCGCCCCCCGCCCGCCCCGCGCCTCTGCGCCGCCCCCCGGCCCGCGGGGCCTTTTCTGCGCGGACGCGGCCAATGGAGCGGCGGGGGCGGGCCGGCCGCCGCCTCCCCACGCCCAGCGGCTCCCGCGCGCGCCCCCCGCCCGCGCCCCGGCCCGCACCTGCCCCCGGGGAAACTGGCCCGCGCCGGGCCCTGGCGCCACGGCCCCGCCGCGGGTGGGGGCGGGGGGCGCCGCGGCGAGCGGGCCGGCCGGCGGCACCCGCTGCTCGCCGCTCCCGACCCAGGGGTCCCGGCGGGGGTGGGGAGGGCGGGGGGCGCTCGAGTTCGCTCCAAGCATCCCCGCCCCCCCGGGGCCGCTTTCTTCACATTGGTTTTGTTGGAAGCGGGAACGGGAGCTTGGGATACTTTTTTTTTTAAGATCGTCTCTCCGCAAGAACCCCGCCTGCCAGCTGTGTGATGCTCGAAATGGTTAAGTCCGAAGCGAATTCGACTTGACCGAAAACCCAGAGCGCCGGAAAACTAGCCAGAATGGACCACGAGCCCGTTCCTCGGGAATTGGAAAGCAAACTGCCTGATGGACATAAGGAAACATCCTCCCAAGCGCTGGGAAGAGGCAAGGCTCGGTTCCCATTTCTAGAATGTGGCAAATGAAGTGACGATATTTATGTAAATGTCCAAATCCGTGTGGAGGAAATCTGCAAAAACCAGTCCGGAGGAGCAGAATCACTAGCTCCTGCTAGTCGGCCCCAGGTGCTAGTTCTGAGATACAAGTCTGAGCGACTACTGACTATTTAAAACAGGGGGTTTTCTTCCCCCAACAAGCGTTGCACTGCGTTGCAGGCTGTGCACTCCTCTGAGCGCGCTCCAGAGTTCAGCAAAGTCGCTTGCCCTTCAACAGTCTTCCCAGGTCAATGCCATTAGATCTCCCAGAAGAGGAAAACGAGGAACCGAGATTTTAAGGAAGTGGCTGAGATCACAGCATGAGGGAGTGGAATTCCTCGCAGGCAGCCGGGCTCTGGGCCCTGAGCGCCTAATTACTAAAACAAACTGTTGTGTTTGTGTATTTGTGAGGTCCCTAACAGCCATTTCTGCATAGATCTCACACACACACACACACACACACACACACACACACACACACGCGCGCACACACACACACCCCAAATCAATGCAGCAACATCCAGAATATGCTTTATTTACTATAAAGGTGATGTGCAAGGCGGGCTGATATCCGCCAAAAAGGGAGGGGGAGGCGGCAGCATTTTGTCCCTGGAGATTACAGTGGGGCAGGACCTATAGTCTGTTTTATGAGCGACATCCGTAAAACAAAGAAACTCACAACCTCTGACCGCGCGGGCCTTCAGTTTCTCGGAGACAGCCGGTTCTCTAGACAACTCCGACCACCTCCTCGTCTTAGGCCCATTTGTCACTTGAACTCCGCGAGGACGTGGGTGCGGGGCTCCCCGCCCCTCCCCCATCCGCAGCGCGGCTCTTACACACAGGGAACAAATTAACAAAGCAGTTCCCGATTCTAGTCGCTGACGTTCCGAAAAGGGAAAAAAAAAAATAATAATCTGTGAGCGCAAATCACAGAGAGTGGCATTTTTTCACTGGTGGCTTTGAAGTAGCTGAAGTTAAATTCAACCAATCACACACTTTCCTTTAAATTTTTATTTGTGTTGGGGGCGGGGGAGGGAAGGAACAGCTTGCAAATGCAGTCTAATTTCATTGCAAATGGGATCCAGAAGAAAAAGCACCTATAGGAGGAGGAGAAAAGGAACGAATCTCGTAGCTCCTTGCTGTTTTCCTGGACAGTTTCTCTGACTCGTCTGGAGAGCAACACAGATCTTTCCAAAGATCTGAAAGCAGCATTCTCTATTAGGGAAAAAAAAAAGTTGAAAATCCTCCCCCCCTCACCCAAGTTTTCTAAAACGAGGGAAGAAAACGCAACAAGAAACAACGCAGTGTTTCCAGGACCCGAATTCATTTTACCTGTGTGAAATAGTCCATTCGGCTACCTGGCTGAAAAAAGTCAAGTGGGATGCAGGAAGAAAATTCAAGGCAGGGATGAGTGCAAAAAAAAAAAAAAAAAAAACGATGGGCACCGTTTTCCCTCTTCTCATTTTCCTTGCCCGCCCCCAAAGGACCCAGAAACAGTCAAGAAAATGCCAGCCCACCCCAAGCCCCCGTGTGTATACGGTTTGCACTTGTTTCTCGAAGCAGACGGAGAGGGGTCTTGGTCGGGTCACGGTCTTAGGCCGGACCTTCAGAATCTAAGCGCCCCCCACCCACCCCCCTTCTCCCAACACCCTCCTGGGAGTTCCAAAGTCGCGCTGACTCCTCTTTCCCAGCAAGGGTTAGTGCGGCCTCAGGAAGATGAATCCCTTTTACGCGGCAGCGTCGTCACCCCGATCCGATTCCTTCCGACGACCGCCGGGTTCTATCCTGGGCCTGGGGGTCGGGGTCGGGGGGCCGCGGCGCCACCGACTGACCCGTCGGGTGTGTGAACGCTTCTATTTCGGGCTCCACTAACCGAGCGGCGCTGGAAGCCGAGCTTGGGACGTTATCAGGGCCAGCCACAAATGCCACATGAAAAGCAGCAAACATCCGGAGTGGCTTCCTGCAAGCCTTGCTTTGCTCCAAACGAGAGATTTACGCGGGGCCGGGAAGGGTGGGGGAGGGACACTCGCTGGGCAGAGTCGGGGCCGAGCGCAGCGGCTCCGCTAGGCGGCCGGGTGCCCGCGCCGCGCTCAGAGCTCGGGACCTCGGGGCTCCGGGTCCCTAGTCGCGCTCCCCGTCCCGGGCCAGAGCCGCACCTCGAACTGGGCCAGGACGCCAGTAGCGTGGCCAGACCTTGTGCCCGCTGACCACTGGGGGCCTCTGGCCAGCAGGCGCTGAAATGAACCCGGGTAGGTGACGCACCGGGGCTCGGCCTCGGGGCCGTGAGCGCCGCGCTCCCCGGGACCCCCGAGTGGCCAGGCCCAGGCAGGGGGTGGGGTGCTTTTCCGACGTGCGCTCCGCGCGGGACTCGGCGGCGGGCGCGGGGCGGAGGCCGCGGGCACCCAGGAGCGTGTGCGCGGGGCTGAGGGGGGGGGGGGATGCGCGCCTCGGACCCGGGGATCGGCAACTCCGAGGCGGTCAGCGGCCGGAGAGACGACGGTGTCCCCGCGGCCCTGAGCCCCGACTCCGCACCCCAAACCACGCGCGCGCACTCCACGCTCCGGCGGCGCCGAGGGGGCGGGCGCGCATCTCCCGGCCGCGCCTTGCGCGTCGCCTCCCGTCTGGTCCCCAGGCCATCTCCCCGGGGGTCTGGAATCCGAGGTCGAAGGTCGCGAGAGGGAGGGGTCGGGAAGCGGTGGGGAACAAGGAGGGGCCGCCCCTCACCTCCACCCCTCTCTTTATGCCCGGCAAGCCCGTCGGGTGTCAGCTCGCGGCATCCCAAACGAGCCTGGGGTGTGCGTTCGCGTGGGGGGCTCCGCGGTGCCGTGCGCGGGCCCCAGGGTCCTGCCTTCCCCTGCTGCGACCCCCAAGCTCCCCACCGCACCCCCGACGGCGCCGCCGGAGCGAGGAGCCCCACCCAGGCAGCGGGCGACTTGGAGCCCAGAGCAGGCGGGGGACCCCTGTGCGCCGTCGGGCCCGACCCGCAGCGAACACGCCTTCTCCGCTCCCGAGCGCAGCCCCGGGGTCCCCATCCGGGTCCCCCGCGCCCTCCGAGGGCACCGGGCCCCTCGGTGCTAGGACGCGTCGGGGAGAACGCGAGTTAGTCCCACACCCGGACGGCCAGCCCGGCTCCCTCCGCCGCCCGCCCCTCCCCGTTTCCTCGCCTGCGCCTGCCCGGTGCGTTGTCGCCTCCCGGGACGGAGCCCGCAGACGCGGGGACCGGCGGGCGAGCGGCCCGGGCTGGCCCGGAGGGATGCGCGGGCCGGTGCGCTCGGCTTCCGCTTCCACTTCGAGGCCAGCTATTGTGCACACAGGGGACGCCGACGCTGACATCAGGGGACCCGGCGCTTGGAGCTGTTTTCTCGAGGAGAGGTCAGCGGTTGTCCAGTGTCGCCTTGCAAACTGGCTCGCCAAGTTTCGCCCGTCGGCGGGGCAAGGACTGAGGCCCGCGGTGGCGTCGGGCAAGGTCTCCGTCCCGGGATCCTGGCGGGGACCCAAGTCAAGTGGGTCCGGGACGGGCCTCGGGGGACGCGCGCCTCCGTGCCGCAGTGTCCGCGGGCGCCCGGGGTCGGAACCGTGCCCGGCCGGGATGCGCCCAAGGGCTCCAATCTGGAGAACCCTCCCGGGCGGCCCGTCTTCAGCTTCTCTGCAGCCTCCAAGCTCTCAATCATTGCTTCTCAGAATAAGTCTCCACCTTCAGGAGCAAGGAGGGCCGGGCCTTCCTTCCCAGGTTCTCTTCCGAGAGCGCACACATTGGGGTTTTTGTTTTGTTTTGTAAAGAAACGCTTAGGGATTCTCTGATGACTGCGCTTAGAGGCCTTTCTCTCGAAGCCACGCCTGTTCTCATCCTAAGACCCTCAGTGCAGCCCACGGGGCCACCTGATTTCCCCCTGGGACCATATGTTGTCCAGCCCCCGAGCCCCCTGAGACTTCGGAGGGGTCGCTCAAGTCCTTGTCCTTTTCCCGGGCCGTTCCAATGTAGACGGGTCAAGCATAGAACCTGGGAGATCTGAATGTGGATCCAGTGCAAAACCAAATGTGTGTCTGGTGGTGGTGGGGTTGGATTTCCGGAAACAGAGCTCCTCGGGTTTATTCATAATCCACACTCCTGCCTTCAAGGAGGAAGCGAGGACAGCACAGAGACTGTCCGCCCCGGCTCTGAACAGTGCTGGGTCCCCATAAAGAGTCTTTGCTGGCTGTGGCAGAATCAGTGGCCGGGTGGAACTGGGTTACCATTCTTAGCACACACATTTCTAGAGTTGGCCCGGGACAGCTCAGGATCTTAAGAGCAGAGGTAAAGGGCTGTAACTGGAAAGCTTTTTAATTTTTTTT